GCCCTGCGGGGAGGAAGGTGCCATCAGCCCCACAGTTAAGATCCCCTTGCTGCCTTTTGGGGGAGTCACACAGCTTGGAGGGGTGGGAGTGCTCAGCCTTACCTCGCCCCAGCAGCTGGGCCCTGTGTGGTGGGCGGTAGGTGTCCTTCGTGGTGGTGCTGTCGGTGGGCCAGGAGAGGAGCTGGTGGACCAGCAGCCCGTGGTGGCCGTGCCGATAGGTGAAGCCCTCGCTGCCTGGCTCACACCCTGGCATGGAGTCCATGTGGTTTGTGGCTCTCTGGGATGAACAGTGGGGGCTGTGGGAAGGGGACAGGAGCCCACCTTGCAGTGGCCTCTGCCCACTCCCGGCTTTTAGGCTTTTGATAGTCCCACGGGGCTCTGGGCAGAGTTGGGAGGTGAGAGTGAGTCACCCGCTCCTGCTGAGCATCCACAAATTAGGGGCACTGCCTCATACCTAAGGACATGTCAACAGGCAGGTGCCTGGCTGGGCACAGTCGGTTCCCCAGCAGGTTGAGCAGCTCCCCTTGCCGCCAGCCCTCGCTGGGCCCCCGGCCCCATACCCGCGGAGGCCGGACAGAAGAAGGGCCCTTTGATAACAGGCGGCATGCTCCGGCGCGAGGGCTGTTATTCCAGAGCTCTGCGGTGTGTGCTGCCGGGGCCACTGCACGCTCGGCCCTGGGGGCCTCTTGTTTTTTCTGGCTGGGGATGTGCCTGGCCCTTCTGGCCTTGGCCAGCCGGGGCCCCCAGTGGGGGCTGCTTCTGCCTCCAGGCGCTCGGCCCCACGCCAAGCAGGGGATCCTCTGAGCCCATCTGCCACGCAGCTGTGAGAAGAAGAGAGAGACGTGCCCCAGAGCGCAGGCTCTGCAAAGAGGGGCCCCTCCATGCTGGGGTGGCAGCAGCCGTGCTGCCGAACAGGAGCGTCCCCAGATTCCCCACCAGACACGTGTGGGCTTGTCCTCAGGGCAGCCAGCATGGCTGTCTGGGTAACACTGAAAGGACACTGAAGGCACCACAAGCAGGACAGGGATCTTGGTGATGCTAGCCCCGGGGTGCGCACTCACTGTAGGGCAACCACAGGCCATTGCTGTGGGGCTGCAACCTGGCTTCTTCACCATGGGGCAGGAGCCCCAGAACTGCTGGAGCACATCTGGCTGCCTCTCGCCAGCTGACACATCCCCCGCCGCGCCCCTGCCCGTCTCTTTTGGGAACTTGCGTCATTTGTGATAGTCTTTGGCTGAGGAATGAAAACAGCCATTGGCCCCTGTCATCCCCCCCACCCCACCCCAACCCTGTGGGGCTGTGACTGCTGTGCTGTCCTGGGGCTGCTCAGGGTCTGACAAAATAAACCTGGCTCAGGAGGAAATGTGATGGCAGGCGTCTGTTCATCCCCTGACCTTGCGTGCTGACACTTGGCCTCTGCTGGGCACAGCAACCCTGGGGGTCTGTTCCGGGTGAGCCCTGGAGCTGGGGAACCCTGGCCTTTCTTTGGAGTCTCCACCTCCCCAGAGATCCTCAGCCCCTCTTTGGGGCCCCCAGCCCTGAGGCAGGGCTGTCCCATGTCCAAGAGTGGCTCCATTGCATGCTGAGACTCAAGCAGGTCTCGGAGGCGGGAAGCAGCATCATCCAACATTTTTAAACTTCATTTGCACCTCGAAAACATTCCCCATGCTATCCTGGGTGTTGGTGACCGGGGGGTGGGGGGAAGCGACAGAGCTCTGCCACAGCCCCATGCTGCTCCCGGGAGGCCCCTGCCGCCAGCGCCAATGAGCCGGAGGCTAAACAGAGCCACCATTCTCCCTGTCGGGCTGCGGTCCCCTGCGCGGCTGGCGGGGGCCCAGGTGGCCCCGCCGGTGGTGCCAGGTGGGACGTACACAGCGCCAACACCGGCCCCCGCTGCTAAATATAGCCACGGCGCTCGGCCATGGCCCAGTGTGCCGGCAGAGACGAGGGGCACGGGGCAGGGAGCGAGCAGGACGGCTGTGTGCCGGCGACAAGCGCGCAGTTGCGTGCCCGTGAGCCCCTGTGTGTGTGCACCCCTCACGGGGCAGACACGGTCATGTATCTGCAGTACACAGTGCCATGGCACGTGTCTGCAGTACACATGTGTAAACAAGAGTGTGTGTGTGTCTGTGTGTGTGAGTGCTTCTGCGTGTGTGCAGTGCTGCCTGTGTTTTGCACGCACAGGGTGGGGGGAGGTCTGCGGTGCGCCACACAACTTGTTTTGCACGGTGGTGTGTGCACAGGAGGTCTGGGTTGTGCAGCGGCTATGTTTTCCACAGTGCTGCACGCCCAGGTGGTCTGGTGTTTTGTCCTGGTTTCAGCTAAGAGAGAGATAATTGGGAGGTTTTTTCCCTTCCCTCTTACTAGCTAGAACAGTGCTGGATTCAGTCTGGGATTCGGTGTGAGAAGAACACTTGTACTGATGGTTTTAGCTGTTGCTCAGAAATCCAGGACTTCGCAACTTCTCACGGCCTGCAAGTGTGCAGGTACACAAGAAGCGGGGCCGGGGGGCACAGCCAAAACAACAGACCCCAGCTGGCCAGTGGAACTTTCCATATCACCGAACGTCATGCTCAGCGTATAGAGAGGGGCTGGTTGGGAAGCTGCACTCGGGTGTTTGGGATGGTGGTTTCAGATTCTCTCCTCTCTGGGATCACAAACCAGGAACAGGCTGGGCATTGGTCAGTGGGTGGTGAGCAATCCCATCGTGCATTACCCGTTTGTATTTTCTATTGTTACTATTGGCGTTATTCCTGTAACTTTATTTCAATTATTACGTTGTTTTTATCTCACCCTTCAAGTCTCTTACCCTTACTCCTCCATGTCCCCGTTCCCCGGGGTTAGGGTAGGGGAGTGAGTGGCTGCGTGGTGCTCAGCTGCCCTCTGGGCTCACACCAGGACAGCTCTGCAGTGCCGTGTTCTGCAAAGTGCTGCCGGCACAAGATGGAGCCTGGGATGTGCAATGCCTTTTGTGTAGCAGTGCACGCATGGGGCTCTGCTGTACGCAGTGCAACATTTTGCACAGCAATGTGAGCATACGGGGCCTGGGCTGTGCAGCGCAGTGTGTTTTGCACAGGGGTGCACACACAGGGGTTCTGGTGTCTGCAGCACTGTCTGACACCATGGTGCACACATAAGGGCTCTGCTCAGCGCAGGAAAATGTTTCACACAGTGGTGCAAGTGCGGGGGGGTCTGGGCTGTGCAGCACAGTGCATTTTGCACAGGGATGCACGTGCCAGCGGTGTGGCAAGTTGTAAAAGGAACAAGCTTCAGAAAACTCTTTTTTCTTAAGATGTTATTAATAGCAGGAATAATCAAGAAATAGATATTGTTTTATAGGCTTAATTATTAGAACACAGGTGCTCTAGGGACAATCCTGACAGTTTAAGAAACTTAGAAAGGCTAGGTAATGAAAAGCTAGACATAGATTAAGTATATGTTAAATAGAACATTTTGAGTCTTTTCTCAGAAGTCTAGAAGTGAATTATGATGAAGATTGTTCAGAAGATAAGTAACCATGATGACCGAAGGCTGTATCAGTGAGCAGTGGTGTCCAAAGAGGAATTAGAATGGAACTATAAGAACTAGCCAAAACTGTGGAATACAATGGACTTTTGAAATTGATGATGAATTTGGAGCTGAAAGTTCCTGGAAAATCACCAAAGACTCTTTGTATTTTATGTTATATCATCTATAGAAGGGCACTTTATTAGGTGTTGGCCCAACTCTGAGCTGTTAATAAAGCCAGCCTAGAGATACCCAGAGTTTGGCGAAATCCTTCAACAAAGTGAGTTGTGGGGTGGTACAGTGGTATGTGGGTGTGCAGGGCCCTCTGGGGTGGGGAACAATAAGAGTGCAAGTAGTGCTTGTAGTTCAATTTAGTGCCATTGGTTCACTTTTCAAAGGCAGAAACACACCAGTGCCCAGCGTGGGGCTCTGTCAGCAACATGGGGGTGCTTGGCGGGCACTTGGGGTCTGTGTGGTGGCAGTGGGGCTGTGTCGGCAGCCTGGGGCATGGGGTGCTGCTGGCAATCCTGGGATGTTTCCCAGCTCAGGGAATCACAGAATCTAGGTTGGAAAACACTTTGAAGATCATCCAGTCCAACCATTAACCTCACACTGACAGTTCCCAACCACACCACTCCACCACTGCCCTGGGCAGCCCATTCCAACACCCAACAACCCCTTCTGGAAAGAAATGCTTCCTGATACCCAGTCTAAACCTTCCCTGGTGCAACTTGAGGCCATTCCCTCTTGTTCTATTGCTTGTTACTTCATTAGTCTCATCCCCATCCCTCTGCAACCTCCTTTCCTGTAGAGGGCGATGAGGTCTCCCCTCAGCCTCCTCTTCTCCAGACTAAGCCCCCCCAGTTCCCTCAGCCGCTCCTCCTACGACCTGTGCTCCAGACCCTGCACCAGCTCCGTTGCCCTTCTCTGGACACGCTCGAGTCATTCAATGTCCTTTTTGTAGTGAGGGGCCCAAAACTGATCACAGGAATCGAGGTGCGGCCTCACCAATGCCGAGTCCAGGGGTCAGATCCCTTCCCTGTCCCTGCTGGCCACGCCAGTGCTGACACAAGACAGGATGCCATTGGC